GTATTATCGATATACAAAGTGAAAAACATCAAAATTTTCACTTAAATAGTGATTTTTAGTATTTAATTAGTACTTTTGGGGACAAAATATTTCCCCTAGTTTTCATAATCTGAAAATTTGAACCCTAAATTCTTTGAAAGTATTACTTATTGGAATTTAAAAAAAAAATCTAGCCCTAAACATTAACGTTTTAATTTTTACTTCAAATTGTGAAACATTTAAACTTATTTTGAGCGATGCGTTATTACCGCGAACTTATAATTCCACCAATCAGTTGTAGTAGGTATATGCACTATATGAAGTATTTCGTAACTCTATATATATGACAAGTAGTAAGTATAAGGTCCTGACTTCATGGTAGGTATGTAATTTTTTTTGTTTTGAAAAAACTAGTGCAACTTTTGGTATCACTTATAAAATAATGGAAAACATCCTTAGAAATATAAGCTGATAACCTGTCTTCGTTCAGAATCGTTTTTCGTATATTATACAACAATTTATGATAATTCAATGCATATATAACATATTCATGCCTATACCTACTCCATGTCGAGGTACACTCAAAATATAYTCCATGTATGCAACAGAGTAAGTTTTTCGATTGAAAAATAAATTTAGTTAACAATTTTTTTTTTTATTTCGATTGAAATTTCATTATTGAAATATTTTTTTGTTAATTGATATTTGAATCAATACCTACCAATAGTCTACCGATATTCTATTGATRTATAATTAAATCGTGGACAAGAATATTTTATGGAGATTGAATATACCTATGCGATATGAAATCGTCAAACAGGTAGGTATAATGTTGTATGTTTAGATTTACATTATAATAAAAATTCGCCACGGAATGAATGATTGCGTCACGTCAAAGGTCGTCCCCTACAGCTACAACACACTTATATATTACATAAGACGAATAAAATGTATCACATGTACCTTTGTGGGTCGTATATACATATATCCGTACATTATACATTACATACGCCATGCTTGTTTTCGCTGATCAAGTAACGGAGGGTAAAGTTCGACCCGCACTTCCTCTTTCGGTTTCCAATATTTTTATTTTTTCGATACACAAGCTCAGCCACCCCGCCCACTGCTAAATAATGAGATTTATTTTTG